ATGCTTGCAGTTTCAAGTAAACCCAATCCCCTACTTGAATCTCTCTTTCAGATCGATGCTTGTTTGCCATTTGTGTCATTCTCTATTGAGAGTTTGATAAATGAAATTTGAGCTACTAAATCATGGCTTCCCATGCTCTTAAGCTCTTGTCCATTGTGTTTACAGAAGAGTCACTAGGAAAATATGGAATATGGAAAGGTGGTGCATACTCATAGAGTACCCAAAAAGGAGTAAGGTGAGTTGAAGTATGATAATTAGTATTATACCAAAATTCAGCCAGAGCTAACCACTTTTGCCATTCTTGTGGGTTGCCACCAGTCATACACCTTAGATATCCTTCTAAACATCTATAACCACTTCCAATTGACCATCAGTTTGGGAATGATAAGCAGTGGAATAATGTAAGTTGAGCCTTTGCAACCTGAAAAGTTCCTTCCAAAAATTGCTTAAGAACACCGTATCCCTGTCATTTATTATCGTCAAAGGAAGGCCATGAAGCTTAAAAACTTGATCCATAAAGGATTGAGCCACAATGTAATATCCCAAAATTTTCTAGGACCCTAAAATTTAAGTTAGAGATTTATACGGGAGAAATTTTTATTGTTGGGCCTAATGATTAAAAATTCAATAGTCTAAGGGTGGGCTAAAAAAAATCAGGTATTTAATGGGGTTAATTTGATTTTCTACTTCTTCCCTCACCCTCCTTGCGTATTCCCAACCCCTCAACCGAAGAGCTGCAGCCTCAAGCCCTAGTTGCCCAAGGCCTCCTCACCGTGAGAAAATAGATCTGGGTTGCTACACCCTTTAATCTGCTGATCTATTTTGGGTTGTTGTCCATCACCATTTTCAGCACTTTTTGGTAAGATATCAACCATATGACTCATCTTTTCCTTTATGATTTGAAGTGGGTTAACTCTAATCCTTTATAGCTCGTTTGGAGCCCTAGCTAAATAGTGGGATAGGATATATTTTTTGTCCAATCCCACTATATCTCACGTTTGGTGGGCTAAAGAGATGGGATGATGCGTATCCCATCTTTTATCCAATCCTATCTTTATTAAATAAATTATATCTCATGTACCCCATGGGTTAACTTGGGACTAAATTTTGTTTTCACTTTTTACCCTTCTCCTCTAGCCAATCGTTTTCTGTCCCCTTCCCAAATTTTCATGCCGGTGCCATCGTAACCCATCTTTTTCATCCACATTCAGAACTAGCTCCTCATCTTATTCCTTCTCATTCTACTTCTTTGCGACTTCACCTCTTCTTCCTCCTCTTGCATCTTCTTCTCTTTTCTTCCCCATTTCTTCCTCCTCCCGTCCTTCTTTCCCTTGATTTTTGTCAGATCTTAAAACTCGAACAAGATCAATTGCCAGAATTAGAATGGAAAATAACTAGGATTGGGGCATGGAGGTTCCTTTTTGGTTGCAATTTTGGTGGCTTCTTAGTGGTTCTCCAACATCTTTTCTCGGATCAATACTCAACTATCTTGTAGATTTGAAGTGAGCATAGAAATTATTTGTGCTTCTAAGTTGTGTGTCTTTCTAGCCTCTATTATTTTGAAATTTCTCAAAGGATATCAGATGGGTTTCGCTCGTTCGAGTTTTTTTTTTTTTTGAAAATTAAAACCTGTTAATGAAAATTTGAGACCATCCAGTGCATCCGATTTTGCAATTTTAATTTTTACTTAATTTTTCTGAATTTGCTTTATGGAATTCATGCTGTTAAAGATTTTGTCATGCTTTATTTCATTTCATCCTCATTTTTTTTGTTTTGAATTTAATGAAATTTGGAAAATTATAGCAAATTTCATTGTGTTTTGCTCTATCAATTTGCTTTGTGGAATTTAGAGATATTCAAAAACAAAATTTGGGTTTGCTTGAAAATGAGGATATATGCTTTGTCTGGTTGTTTGGTTCTTGGGAAAACAAAGGAAAATACTTTTGATGAAAATTAACCTGAATTAATTGTGGAAACAAAGTAAAATATTGAAGGTAATTAACTGGAATTTTGTTATATTTTTTCAATCATTTAATTAATAATATCTTTATACTGTAAAGCAGATTAAAACAAAATTTTGATCACTATAATTGTGATAAGGGCAATTTTGTCCATAATAAATAATATTTTTATCTAAAACCCTATTTAATCCAACAATCAACCAAACATGACATTGGATTTAAATATACCCATCTTATCTAGTCTGGTCCACTCCAATCTTTAAAATCTTATCCAATCTTGTCTAATTTTATACTCCAAATGAGCTCTTTGGGTTTTCAAATTTTAGAAAATTTCTGTAGTTTTCCCCCTTAATTTTGTCCATGATAAATACCATTAGAAACTGATTTTCTTTACTTGCCAAAAATTTGGACTGCATGACCTTTCTGTAGTATTTTACCCATAACTCTATCTATGGATATTGTTTTGAGTTCATTCTTGATTCTATGGAAAACTAAGAGATAACCCTACAATTTTTATGTTGGACATTTAACCCAATTCAGCTGTTTTCAAGGTTAAAACTCTGCTGAAATTTCAGTCCCTGCAGGCGGACTGCACTGGCAGCCTGACCTTCTGTTAGTATTTTGGCCATAACTCTCTCTATAAATGTCAAATTAAGGTAATTCTTGAGGTTATAGAATGCTAAGACATAGGGATACAATTTATCTGTTGACCACTCAACCCAGATCGATCAATTTCTTGGTGTAAATTCTGTTGGAAATTCTGGTTCGAAATCTGACCAGAACTTGCCAGAAATTTGCTCTGTTTTCTGTTTTATTCCCACTTTATCTGCTGCTACATTACACCATGGTTTTAGTAGACTTTTAATTGCTTCTTTTCTGTTTTAAAACCCCTTGTTATTGCTTTGTTTTGGCTGCCTTTTTGGTACTGCATTTTTGGTTGAATGCTACCCAGTTTTGGCTTATTCCTACATTGTTTTGCTGCTGCTGTTTGCCCATAAATCCCTGCAGTTTTTGCCTAGAAAATTCCTGTTGTTCAAGGCTTTTTCCAAGTATTTTGGGATTGTTTTAAATAGCAAAAATTCCCACCATACTGCCCAACTTTTGTGCTGCTGTTTTGGGTAGATTTGAGTTTGGTTTCTCATATTTTTCCACTTTGTTTTGTCCAATAAATCTACCTTGTAAACCCACATATGTAGGATATTTTG